TATAGTTACAATATAAGGCCCTTTGAGTACAACCTTTATGCAAATGTGGCCCACGATGAAATTGAGTTTGACACCCCTGGTCTACATACTGCCATGCCATTTCTAATACAGAAAAGACTGCATGGGTTCATAGCTAACAACGATCGGGTGCATGTCACTGTTGTGATATATTTTCCCTCCTGTTGGATTGCCTCAACAATAAATATTTGAATAGAAATGACCTCAATTTCGAGGGAACATTTCATTTGGCTAGAGTGCGTGTTATACATATTGAGGAATAGCAACATGTCAGGCCTGCCAAGCAGATTCCCCAAGTAGCTGAAAATGACACCGCTTAGAGCCAGCACTGTCTTCACCGTACGCGTGTGCCAAGTATTTTGTATGCAACTACGAATATTGGATGCAGAGGATATTTTGTTTTTGTCGCACTCAGATTATATTCACTCCTTTTTTCCGACTACACTGGAGAGCTGTGACACCATGTTTCCATTGTCAATCAAACGATCACCTTAAAAGGTTTCAGGAAAACACTTGTCACTTTGTCCCGACACATTACTGTGAGGTCTGCTGGAGAACAACAACTGTTGGGAAAGTTTAAGGTTATCATTTGTTTCCTAACGTGACGGGTGTCATTTATTATGCGCTGACACATTGCGGCTAGTTTTAAAGAAGAATTACTTCAACATGAGGAGAAAAACATTATTTCTCTAGCCACCTACTGCGGTGAATAAACTGCCAGAAAATATAACGTATGACCCTAATTTCCCCCCTGCTTATGACAGATGCCTTGCAGGTCTGAGTAAATGAGAAGAGGTTTACTTTCACTTTTAACCAATCTTTAGAGAGTGTTGGGACATTAACTTGGCATGGCTTTTGATCTGTAATCTGGGTGAATGGCTGTGTCATATATCAAAACTCTTGGCAGGAGCCCTGTGTTCAAAACTGTTTGAAAAACCAACAGACAGAGTGTGGCGCCTGCCTATTGCTTACAGCACTGTTGACAAAAACAATGAATCTGTCCCTGGCACTCAAAGGAACGCTTGCTTTTAGTCATACTAGTACTCTGCGTGGTGAATGATTGATTTCAGGGCTTATCATTACCATATGATATACAAACAAATCTATTTGTCCAACAGTGAGGCATACTTGACTGTTGCACACATGAAATCCACTTAGAAAGAATTGGAAGCAAAAATCTACAATACAACCAGTGTTTGTAAAAAGGACATCAGTAGATCTCTTCAACATTCATGAAACAATGGAATAGAAGGAGCATCTATTTTCAATAATAAAGTGCAAATACAAGCAGCCGGTCCTTAATGGAACTCCTCACTGTATCGCTCATTGGTTGGGCCCCCCCCCCCAGGCTTAGCAATATTGAATACACCATGTGTTTATCTGGCGCTTTTCCCCTTGTAAGTGGCACTGACGGCATGGTTTTGGCACTACGCTTCTACTTCCCATAATGCATCAATCTAAAAGCTCATTTAGGCAGTCACTTACCAGACACACAAAAGGGACTGGGTCTTATATTTGTTTGTTAGATAACGGCTATCCATCCGCTGTGTATATCATACACTATTCAGGCATCACTTTATTGAGCTGTATATGTAGAGAATATCACCCACATAAGCCCAGGACATGTTGCTTGCACGAACCAGTGGTGTCATACTTTATAACAACAAGTAACAAGTAAGGCAGCTGCTTTTAATAAAGTAAGACAAGAGCTCTATCTTTGATTGTGATGTTGGCCCCCTGATGTGTAGAACCAAAATGCTTCCATTTAGACATTGTGGGGCAGCCTGTCCTCCTACAAAAAACGACCATATAGGTCGATTGTTCAGCAGCTAAATACGACCCAGAGTCACGTTTTAAAGTGTAGCACCTCTAGTGGTCGTGTAAGAAACAACATGCTCCTGTCGATTGCAAACGCTCCGGAGGGTCGTTTATTCACAAATTACCATCTGGAAAATCCTAAATTGTGGAATAGTTGGCCATTAAAATGCTTTTTTATTAGATTTCTAGCGAGAAGTGTATATTGTACTTTTATAATCTACGTCCAGTGGATGTGTAGGATTTACAGTTTGATAGATATACGAAGATGATTTGAGGTCTCGCCAGGAGAACGTGTACTGTATATGGGGCAGCTTCCATGTAAAGTTAGCATGGGTGAAAACAGTATTTCCGGTCTCGAAGTTTTCATAATAAAACCGGAAGTATTCCCCACACTGTCAAATGATCTCCATTACTCATCCAAACATCAGTTTATCCTTGTTAATTACACAATATTGATTGGTTTAAATTGTGTACAATGCTTTTGTGTTTTTAACCTTCGATTCGGAGAAACAAATAGTTTTTTCGGAGTTTAGACACTACAGAGTTTCCGAAGACACTACACTACCCAGAATCCCCAGCTATCGTTTGGGACTACAACATCCGCCTTGCTTTACAAACCCCGTGATTAGCCCTCAAGCTCTGTGATTGGATGTTGGAGTGGCAGTGCGACAAGGTTACGCCGAATGTCAAACAGCTCTTTGAAATGGAATGGAACCACGCCAGACTATCCAAAACTGGACTTGGACGGGTCCAGCCCAGCCCTCCCCCACAGAATTACACATGCTGGCTATTGTGTGTTTCGCAATATGTTCTATGGCACGTCTCTACTGGGAATTGTAGTTTTATAAGACGTTTTCGTATTTCCCACAATTAGAAGTTGCCAGTATTAAACTGTATACATCCCTGGAGGTTTAGGGGATACGAAACACATTGGTGTTATCAAATTTAAAACATATAATTAATACATGGGTGAAAATTGCTTGTGCCCATAATGGGCAGCATTAATATACCCACATGACAGCTAAGGTCAGAAGAGCTTTATTTAACAGCTGGTCTTATGTCTGTGACCCCTCCTGTTGTTAATTGATAAGCCTGAAACATGCACTTGTCAAGGTTCAGATGCACATTTAGCAAATATGGCAGTAGCCATCGATCATCTTAAGATAAGATACTTTATTGATCCCAATTTGGGAAATGTTTTTGTTACAGCAGCATGTACTACTCTGTTCTACTCCACTACAATTCAGAGGTCAACCTGGTATTTTTACTCTACTACATTTATTTTTGTTACATTGCAGATTCTGATTAATGATGTGAAATATAAACAACCCTTAAATCAGACTTTCGTTACACCTGAGTAAAATTCAGCCTTATCAGTTTGTCTGTTTTGCACATCCACCTGTTAATATCTTTGGACGTCCTGCACTAAACTGTTTTATTGTAGAGATCACTACAGTATCTTCTTGATATTTTCTATTCTATATTTCTATCATTGACCCCTATTTTGTATGTAGGCTACTCTTAATATTTAAATGTTTTCATAAAAATTAAACTTATTCAACAACTAAATTCAATAACGTGCTTTAACCACTAGGAGGTACGGTTTAGACCAGTGGTCTAGTTAATAAAACATAATAATATCAAACATAAGACTATTCACTTTATTGTGAAATTAAAACAGAACGGTAAAGGAAAATACAGTTTCAGTCTCTCAATGTGAAGCTTATGCATTGTACCATAAACTTGTATAGACCTGTAACAGTCAACTGCATGAGGAGTTGGAAAGGTAGTTCAGAAAATCAGTAATACCTTTCTATCAGCTGTGCACCGTTATGGTGTAAATACAGACTATCTACTTATTGGATCAAATATAAAAGTCAGCCGAATTAGTGTTGATACTGCAAGGAGACGTATTGTGTGAAAAGAAATGGAAGATGTTGTTTAATTGTTGATATTTTATGGTCCACGTCACGTATTCAGTTTTGGCGGCATCTCTTCCAGTTTGTCAAAAGGTCTTCTGATCAGGGCTCTATAAATACATATCTACGGCAGATATGTAATATTTAATGTAGCCGAACCGTGTATTACAATGCCGTTATGTGATGACTTTCAAAGAGAAAAGCAAGAACACTCGGAATAAAGTATTATTATTAAAAATGTTTTCCGATTTCATATCTACGGTGGCCGGCAGGTGCAAACGCGGAACAACGGCCCAAAACGCATACATAAGCAGGAAACACCTGCAAATAATGAAATGAAAAACAAACAAACCCTGAAAACAAATACAACAGAAAAACGCTGCATTTACAGAAATGTTGCAAACTAAATACAACACACAAACCCCGAAAACAAACGCAACAAAAAAACGCTGCAAATAGCAAAATGATATGCAAAGTCCAAAGCACGTACAAATCCCAAAACACATACAAAAAAAACATTCCGGAAGTGCTCCAGGCCTCTAGGGGGCGCGCTACGTGGAACAGATTGATGTCTGACCAGACATAGAGAGAACGAACAAGAGTGATGGAAATCGAGAGTAAAGAAACTTCATTTAAGTGGAGAAAGATATAAAAAGGTACGTTTTGTTTTAATACATAGAGCGTCATATTTATATAGCTAGCGTTAGCGTGCCTAACTACTACACCAGCTGAGGAGAGGAGAGCTTCACGTGAAGAGAAGATAAAGTGAGGGAAGAACATTTTTAAAAGAGATGACAAATCAAGTGCAGGCAAATAACACGGGCCATAGTGAGTACCGCGGAAAAAGGACATTTGAATTCTTAGCAGTTTGTTTATATGTATATATTTGTGTATAGATGTTGCAACTATACAGAGCTTTAGCAATTACCTGTAACTATGGTCATGCTAATAAAGCTATTGAATTGAGAGAGATGTGACAACATGTGAAGAGGGACAAAGTAATGACAGGAGAGTAGTGTGCATTAGACATGCTCAAGAACAAATATAGAGACATTCAAGGAGAGAGAGAACACAGATTCAACGGTAAACATGATGTATCTTTCTATTTATTTAGCTAACCACTATTTAGACTATGTGTTTTTGATTAACTTGATTAAATGGATTTACTACATCAATGTATGTCTTTTCAGGCCGCCATGTTTTGTCCTTTCTGTGGCCAGCATCTGGGGACAGTTCAAGTGTTCTGTGGCTCCTGTGGCAAACATGTACAGTTTTTGGCAGAAGTTGAACACAACAGTAAGTTCACTTTTTTTATTGTATCTGTTTCAAATGCAAGAAATAAGGATTCAACACACTACTCCGTTTAGAATACGAATTGGCAGATGCATACACTAGTTATCAGCATGAAGGACACATTTTTTCATTGTCTGTTTATGTGAGATATGTAGAAGCCATCATTACATTGTAGACCAATGCATGATTAAATACACAAAACAGCTTATATTATACATTCATAATTGTGTATTAGTTATATCTTTATAGAGAACATTATATATTTAGAATCAGATTTTGAGACAGTGAGCGGCTGGGAAAGTCACACCGCCATGGGGCACAAACAGTTGCTGACGTGATGTTTTCTTCATTCTCAGGCATTCCATAAGGAGGGTCAGGAACTCACGCTTGGGACCACCATTGTCCCCTCCATCCTCAGTGTGTCCCTCATCATCAGTGAACTTAACTGACATCTCATGAGAGGGATCGAATGAGGCACCTTTGAAGCCGCAGATTGCTCCATCGCACACACTGGCTCTATTAATATTGGACCTGCTGCAAGATGTATTTGTTATTTTTGCAGAGAGTTCTGCAACAATGTGTGCCGCAGTCAGGTATTCTGTGCTGGGAAAGACAAAGTGATGTATTGTAATATTAAATGATGAAGCTAGTAATAAGATTTACAGAATAGAATAGAAAAATTAAGTGGTAATAGTAACAATTAATACCTTTGCTCCATTGTGTCTTCTGGCTCAGACTGGCTATCAATAATGATAAGTGCATACACAGTTGTGTAGTTGCTGCAGTGAGAAGACCGTTGAATAATTACTTTCAAATACCTAATATATGCATGACAGTCATATTTACAAAAGGATGTCGATCCTCTTCCTGTTTTTTCAATACATTGGGTTCTAAACTGACAACAGCACTTTTGTCATACTCCTGCACAATCCTTGTAAACATTTGAAATGGATGCAACAAAAAATATCTGATCTTTGAAAAATATTTGTGGGTGTTTTTTGTATTGTCTTCACTAAGATGTCAGATGTTGTGGGTGTCATTTGGAAATGTATAAAAGTATAATTGTTCTGCTTCCTGGCAATGTTACCCACTGTGATTGGAGGCTATACAAACAAACAAATGTAAAATAAAGATACACAGCAAACAACTGTGTCACGATGCAACTGTCAACCTCGTTTACCTATAGAAGTGGTTCTGACCCGGGGCAGACTGGACCTCTTCCTGGAATGGGGTTGGTGCTCCATCCTATTTTTACCCAGGAAATAAGTGCACACAAAGGTATTTATTGATTTCATGTTCACAAATTCAAACCTACATGGTATAATTACATTTGTAATTAGTCTTACCCGATCAGACGCTGGTTGTGGGTGCCTGAGAGGTCTGATAAAGGTTAACAACAAATATATTCAAACTACTGTACTGTTAAAACATTCTGCTTCTTGTGGCACAAAATAATATGTTGACAATGTTTTATTTTACCCTGCAAACTGTTGTCCATTCGTGGAGTGCTCACTTTTGGAACATTTGGAATGTCCCACACCTGCATACAACACACAAATGACTGACTGAAATACAAATAAATTCACTTTAATTAAGAATAAATGCCACGATAAATCCAAACTGACCAAGGTACTTTATATTGTTGACCGTCCTTTAACTCTCACATTAGGATTTACATTGAAGCACAATAAACCAACTCCTCTCTGCACCTATAATATATCTATATGATGTCAAGAGTTACATTTAGGTGCACAGACAGTGCTGTCTCTTGACTTGCAAGCTCTTTCACCAAACAAGCTAACGCTAGCTGGGTAAATATGACGCTCTTTGTATCAAAACAAAACTTACCTTTTTATATATCGTCTTTTTCCACTTCGATCAACTTCGTTTCCTCCGGCTTCAATTTGCAGCACTCTTGTTCGTTCCCTCTATGTCTGGTCAGACATCAATCTGTTCCACGTAGCGCGCCCCCTAGAGGCCTGGAACACTTCCGGAATGTTTTTGTTTTGTATGTGTTTTGGGATTTGTATGTGCTTTGGACTTTGCATGTCGTTTTGGTATTTGCAGCGTCATCATTTTGTTGCGTTTGTTTTCGGGGTTTGTGTGTTGTATTTAGTTTGCATCATTTCTGGAAATGCAGCGTTTTTTGGTTGTATTTGTTTTCAGGATTTGTTTGTTTTTCATTTCAGGATTTGCAGCTGTTTCCTGCTAATGCATTTGTTTTTGGCCGTTGTTCCGTGTTTGCACCTGCCGGCCACCGTACGTATCAGATAAACACCATATCCCGACGTGCATTGCGGCGTGATTTTAGCCTATCAAAACCTCTGAAAAAAGAAATGTGTCTCTCAGAATCGAAAGAGAAAACCCTATGGGAAAAACACAAAAGCATTGTACAAAATGTAAACCAATTAATGTCGTATAATTAACTAGGATAAACTGATGTGTTTTAGTGGATGAGTACTGCAGATATCACTGTTAAATCATTTGATCATTGGTTTTATTATGAAAACGTCGAGACCGGAAATACTGTTTTCAACCCGTAACTTTACATGGAAGCTTGCCGCATATACACGTTCTCCTGACGAAACCTCAAATCATCTTCGTAATATCTATCAAACTATAGATCCTACATAACGACTGGACGTGGATTCTAAAAGTACAATATATACTTCTCGCTAGAAATCTAATCAAAAAGCGTTTTAATGGCCAAACTATCCTACAATTTAGGATTTTACAGAGAGGGTTATTTGTGAATAAACGACCATCTGTAACGTTTGCATTCAACGGGAGCACTAGAGGCCGACAACTTTAAAACGTAATTATAGGTCGTATTAAGCGCTTGAACAAACGACATATTTGGTCGTAATAAGGGCTTAAACAATCGACCCATTTGGTCGTATGAGTTGGAGGACTTGTTGCAGCCGGGAGATGTTTTGTTTTTCCAAAGATATATTCAAGCTGTAAAGGAGACAGGGTTGTCATGTCATTGTTCTACAATTGTCAATGTCTCTCCCCTGCTACGCTCTGGGTGTGTGAACTGATTATTTTTTGGTGATATCCATATCTCATCTAACCTTGTAATGATATTCCCCTATCCCGCCTCAGCAGCCCTCCCCCTCCCCCCCAGTTACCCTGCTGCTGCTATGCGGCCATTTTTAGCCCCATAATTTCTTTGGCAGTAAGCTCCTGATGAGGTTGGTCAGGGATGAAGACTTCTATTAACTCAAATGTTGTACATGAAGGGAATTGCAGACCCATAAAGCAAGGTCTTGTCAGTCTCCCAGGTGAGCTCTAGCATGAAGAGCATAGCCTCGCTCTCCACCCACTGGCAGATTTGCCTTAAAAGTTTCAGTACCAAGGGGGGAGGTAAAAACTTTGGGATAGTTGCTAGATTTTCCCTGTCACATAATCACTAATGCTATATCTGTTATTTAATAAGAGTAATCTACCCAAAAAGCAAGCTTCACTCAGTGCATTCACAGTATAATAATTACCTTATGAGATCATGAATGTCATACAGTATAACTAAACACAACATGGTCCTATTTCAGCGAAGTGCATGGAGCAGTTTTTCTTTAAGTGAGTCTCAGTTTTGTTTCTGATTCAAGCACACAAGGACGCAACTGCACACGTTGGCTTATGCTATACACAGTCCTACCAATACTATCACACTATTGCACTGATCTGTAGGTTGCAGTAACACTGGAAGATATACTACAATGTGTAGGGAAGAAGATGACTCAGGGTTTTTGTTTTGGTGAGCAACACTGAATGTAAAGATCACTTTTGAAGGTGGAGTACTTTTATCTTCATGTTGCTGATTAATCAAAAGAAGACCTTGCTTATTGTAACTGTCAACAATGAGCACCATCTTGTTGCAGGTGAGGAAATCAGCTAAAAGCCACATTTATGAGCCGTAATAATGTGGAGCACTTACAAGGCAAAGAATAAAAACACTTTTTTGGTGTGTTCAAAACCACTCAATATCTGAACATACAAAGGCAGATTTAGCTTTTCTAAATGTATTTATTTGTATGTGACAAACTCTTGATCGCAGCTATTAACTTAGTTCTCGATGTGTTGGTGAAAATGGTAAGAAATAAAAGGCTGCATAGCACATATTTTCCTTTGTTGATGGACTAAATCATCTAAGAGAACTGCATTCAACAAAAATATCACCTGGGTGTCACATGCTGTATGTACCTAAAGAAGTAGCTACTTTTAGTCAACTTCACGCAATTTATAAGTAAAATAAAAAAAACAAGAGCAATGTATTCCCGTTACACCAATGATCTACTCGATTAAGACTCAAAATATAACCGAAGGTCAGGCACCAACATTCAGATTTTACACACTATTGTATGGAAGCAAACAAAGAGACAGAAGTATTTTAATTTTTATCAGACACTGAATTTATAGCATGAGAAATAAAAATTTAAAAATTCAAGTTAAAACAATTTGAATGTTCAAATTCAGATCCCAAAAATTCAAGTGAAAAAAATTCGAATGCATAATTTCGGTGTTAAATTCGACGTAAAAAAATTCCATCCATCCATCTTCTCCCGCTTATCCGTGGTCGGGTCGCGGGGGTCAAAAGATTCGGTGTATAAAATTCGACGTCCAAAATTGCGATGCAGCATCATCTGGGCTACTCAGACAAGATAAACAATCGAGCCCGAATGCAATCAAACCGACTTCTGGCCTATCAGACTCTGATAGGCCAGAAGTCAGTTTGATTGCATTCGGAAATATTTGACGTCGAATTTTTTCACTTGAATTTTTGGGATCTGAATTTGAACATTCAAATTGTTTTAACTTGAATTTTTACATTTCTATTTCACATAGGTAAATTCGGAGCAAAAACAATTCAGATACATGATTTTCAAAGTAATTATTTTCAATGCTGTAAATTCGGTGTCTGATAAAATTCAAATCAAGTCTCTTGTATGCTTCCATATTATTGCCTCATTTATAGCTTACGATTGCTTTATTATATGGTTACTCCCCCCTCTCGCCATTCATTGAACAGATCTTCTAAGGAAGACACAGAAAATCACGTTGGCAGTTGCAAAGGATTTGGATGCAGAGAAATATTCCATATATTATCCTGGACGCAGCACAGAAAGACGCTTTAAAGACTGCAGAAATGGTGATGATTATTGACTCATAAAAGCATATTTGCAGTAGCAGGAATTAATCTTCATAGCTGGAATCAAAGGGGTTGTGTTTTCAGACCACTTCACGCAGATAATTTGTGGAGGAGGAAGAAATTGAGTTGAAAAATATGATGTAATAAACGTATGAGAATTGCTATTCCTCAAGGGTAAATTCAATATGAATACGTTCTTTTAATAAAAAGCACAAGACATATAGACTATGACACTATTTTAACTGCCATGACTAAAATATTAGAATATTTTAGCATAAGTGAACACTGAATCGGAGTCAACAGTTTAAGTGTCTTGTGAATTGAAACAGTCTGTTGACATAAACAGTTACACATTAATTTATTTTTCATATTCGGGGTCAAGATGTCATCATTGTGTGGGAGAGTCTTACAATATCTTGCTATGGTATTGATTTTTCGAATCACTCGTCTTGGGAAAGCATGCACATACTAGTTTTTGTTTTAAACCCTTGAATTTTCCCCTGCACTATTGTTGCCTTCAGTTTGACTCGTCTTGAACGTGTGAAATGCAGCGTGGGTATTCCACCCACGTAAAGTACCGAATGACCTCTGATAATTTGGTTGATAACCTCCTCTGGTATGTCAGCAGTATAACTTTCCCAGTGAGGTGGGATGTAGTGTAAACAACAGTGATTAAAGCACGTTCTCTATCCTACCATTTGACACTTGTGTATCTGAGGCTGGGTTAAGAAGACACATGCTGTCAGGCAAACAATCTTTGTTATTTCCCAAGGTCTAACCATGTTTATATTAAGAGCGCTGCGTTCAATTTTATGAAGAGTTAGGACTGGGTATGTCAATAAGCTTTGATAACGGTGAAAGTTAAAATCCAGATATGTGGTGGCGACTTTGAGGCCATCAGATAAAGCCGAGAAAATACAAAAGTGAAAAGTGACAAAACTGCACAAAAAACTATGATTAACGACTTACACAATACATGTTGCTATGTTTGGCATATCATGTAAATGTATAAGCAACGATTACTGATTCATGAGGCTTGTAAAGCTGGGCAGACATTGGGATGGACTGAGCCCAGTTTGAAAATTGAAGTGATTGCATCCAACAGCTTTTAGGATTCGGCCAAATTGTATTGAAAAATATTAAAATCAACCTTTCAAAGTTTGAGAGAAAAATCATATTTGATAGAAGAATTCTTGAGGAAAGTTATACCAGCAAATCGATTATGAATATCAGAAGTAAGACAATTAAAGAGTCAAGCACTGACTTTTTGTGTAATTGTGCAAGTGCCCTGTAAGCCCTCGTTCCCTGACTGTACATCAGTAAATATAAATCTTTGTGTAGACTAATGTAAACGCTCCCGTCATTGACAAATATGTTTTGACAAATTATGAAGGATGTCTTTACACATTTAGAGCCATATCACAGAGAATTCTGTCAGCTACATGTGGAAATTATTCCACCACACTACACAATGCGGTCTACCTACCAAGGTGTCTGCCTGCACTTTAATGAGAGTCGGGGTAATGGGCTGTTTAATCTGGCCTCAGAGCTTGGATGAATATGATGATTAAGAATATGACAGCGGCACTTCCACACCTTGAGAAAGTGATGATTCTAAACGTGTTGGTTGTCGCCTTGCGTTAAACGGTTGTTTCATCACTGTCAGCGACAGATGCGGCGATCCTGCTCCTGCCAAACTGAGAGGAGCCTCGTCGCACCAGAATAACGTGACCAGAGGAGGAGGTGTCCATTGGTGTGCATTATTCTGTAAAGAATATCAATCCAGCTTTATGTC